AATTATTCTCAATTTTTAAACACCTTTAATGCAGCGCTCCTGGAGCCTCAAATACCTACCCGCCCTTGTATACAATTTAAATTGTTTTCAGAAATTATGGGGCGGATCCAACGTTTTTAGTGTTTATTTATTTATTTATTTTGTAGAGAGGGATTCTACATGTCAGGTTCAAACCGTAAACAACTTGTCCAAATTTGAAAAAAAAGAACTTATAATTATTTCGTGTGTGTGTTTTGGGAGGGGGGGGTGGGTCCGGAATCAACGTCATTGTTCATCATCATAAAACAAAAAAAGTTATTTTCTATAACTACATTTTACCTGGTCCTCAATTTAAAGTAAAGATGTTTATTCATTTTTTTATTCAATAATAGAGAACCCCCGGCATAGAAATTGTAACCGCCAAACGAACAGAAGACAATCCCTTCACGTAAGCAAAAAGCTTTTAGGAGATACCAATCTACTTCCTTTCTTGTACTTTTATCTCAGACAAATACACATAAAAATGTAAATATTTTTAGATGAGAGCAATAATATAATTTGAAAACAAGAATAAATATTATAGGAAAATATGGGAATAAAGCAGTTTAACGTATAAGATTGAATTTTTTTTTTTAAAATTATGATAAAAACTATGTACAACATCTGTTCAATCATGTATTCTAAAATTATCAGACTTTGTATCAACGAATACTTGTATTCTAAGAACTTGAAAATGTTTCAACATTTAAAAGAAAATCAAGTTTTAGCAATTGGCATTCAAGCAACACAATGTTAAGTAAAATTACATTATATACACATTTTATATTATTATATATATAATATTATATATGTAAATATTTACATTTGCTGTGTTTTTCTACTAAGCCAAATGTGAAATTGATTTGAAAACCATTTCTGTGTATACTCACGCGTAGAATATACACGATAAAACTCGCGCTAAAGTGACGTCACAATGAGGCTACAAAGACGTTAATAAAAATATGACGAGATAGGGCAGCAAGAAATTCAAACATTGAGTATATTTTTGGTGCATTTAAACATGTAAAATGTAAATATAAGGAATGTTTTTAATTTTTGTGTGAATTATTAGTGTGTAAATTACACAGACTTGCACGTAGGCATATTTTGCATGAAGCGCTAGCGCGCTTCAAGAAATATGCCTACGTGACAAGTCTGTGTGATTTACACACCAATAACTCACACAAAACTTAAAAACATTCCTTAAATAATATCAAAGACAATGGGTCTCTATCATTAAGAGAGTTTCTTTATATCTCTACCAGTATCAACTGAAGGATGTCATGAATATAAACAGCATGCCGTGGACCAAGGGCCGTTAGGAAAGACAGAGTAACAGTTCTGAAACCACAACCCTTCCTTAAAAACAGCTGCACAATTACGATCAACACCCTGTCATTATCTTTGTTGGGGGCACTGACGGACATTCCGGACAAATCACTGTCAGAACGTCCAGGGTTTTAATTGTGTCAACTGTACATAAAAAACACGGTGATTCTTACATGTTATATGGCTGTCAAAGTAGCATTATATAAGGTGTTACGTGGGTAAAAAGTTTTAAGAGTGATGCATTTTTATCTTCTCTTATTAGTATTTCTAAAATCTATCGTATAACCCGTTATTTTTACTATTGTAAATTTTTGCGAATTTATTGGCAAATCGGGTGTTTTATATTTTAGTTGATTTTTTTTACGAATTTGAATCTGCGTAAAAACTCAAGAGAAATAACTCAAAGTACAGAAAAGATAATCCTTACAAAATTCAGTGCGACGATACAAGCGGCAACGTTCATGTTTATGCTTAGTACTCTGTATATAAAAAAATCATATTAAATAAGATCTCAAAGACAAAGAGCAAAAGCTGTAATGAATAATATTCATTAAGTCGTCATTTTAAATAGGTGTACCAGGAAATGTTAAAAGCAGTCTGATGCCTGCAGTGATCATAACAACCGATGTTTTTTAAGCATCAATAATGCACTATGATAAGTGAGGCAATGATTGCTTAAACTCATTAATGACCAATTTCATTTTACATCAATGCTGTGTTCTTCAAATAATTCCTTTCTAACAACCCAAAAGATCACGTTCCATCCCTCAGTGCTAAATTACCTATAAGAATCAACTCTTTGCGGCGAAGAGAAGTTGTTACTTATGTTGCGTGTATATTTCATACTTCTGCGTGTATCTAATAAAAAAGGTATAATCAGACGTTAAACACACGGTATTTGGGTATCACATTTTTCTTTCAACAGTGAAATTTAAAAGAAATGGTCATTGGCAAAATACGTAACGAGCACTGTTGATCGCCGGAAAATAAGATGGGAGTAAATGTACAATGAGATATGGCAAATTTTTACACATGTTCATTATACCCACAGTTTCTAAAGAAAGTTAGTTTATACTGTTGTTACCCTGGTCAATCCGTCCTTCCGTCCGTCCCTCTGTCATACTTTCTTCTTCATCAAACTCCTCTTTTATTTTCAGCAGTAACCAATGTGTCTTTGGGAACATGATGTCCTGTAGATGTGCAATAAGTTTTGGAATTAATAATAATAATAATAATATTTTTTGCTTATCAAACATTTACAGAGATGGAATAAAACAAAATCTGTCCATGATCATTTTGGAAAACATGAAAGTAAATAATGTGACTCGAAAAAAAGCCAGCTCCCTCCTCATAAATCTTACGCGCAAATCTACAGAATTTAACAAAACCGGTACCAACAGTAAAATGAAATAATTATTTTTTTTTGCATAATAAAAAAATCAACCTAAACCACATTGATGCATAAGCATATGTCAGAATTGTTCACTGAGCATGCAAGATGACGTCATTTCAACATCATTTTTACAATCCATTTTTATCAAATAATTCAAAGACTTTGATCAAATAAGATACACAGACGTACGTTATTTACTCTCAACATCACAGCAAACATCGTCTGAAAAATATATATTCTATTGTTTTAGTTCTTACCTCCGTGTTTGTTTGAATCCAAACTTTGTATACAACTTGTAGAATTACGCAGTATGCAAAACTGATGACGTAATTCGCAGTAAATTAGGAGATTTCCCTAGTTTCACGTATACGTAGACATACAGGTCATATGCTTTACTTCTCTTGTATATTTAATTTTACATGTAGTTTAAGTTAATAACTTATATGTGTGTTTATTTCTGTTCCAATAAATCCGGATAGCTAATTTTTTTTTTTCAGTTTTGGGTTGTACCCCGTTTGCGCCTTTGGGAATGTGACTTCTTTGTACATACAGCGATGAAAGTATTAATAACGATAGCGACTTTGTCAGAAGATTAAGGTAGTTAATAATTATGTATTTTTTGTATGCATTACCTAAAGTAAAGTCTCTGATCTTGGTTTGTTTGTATATAAGTATAGTTGCAATATTCTTGAGTACAAGCATTGCTAGTGCTGATTTTCTTACAATGCGCCATAATTGATCCACATGTAGTGAAATGATGATGTCATATTGTATCAGTCCTTATGCAATTTGTGACTGGTATTAAATATTGTTTTAAGATTAGTTAAACTTGATTTATTATCTGAATTTTGATTGCTTTAATTGATTGTCATATATAAATAAAGGCTAATTATGTTAGATGACCTTAAACTATAGTAATACCCCTTTGACTTTTAATGAAAGTCAAAGAGCCAAGTTTGTACACATTTTATAGGTAAAACAGAAGTAATTGTTTTTTTCTGTTAATAATAAAGACGAAATTAGGATGTGAGTTAGTTAAATATGTGATTTTTACACTACCCTAGTAAATGCGTGTTTTAGTCTACAAATGTATCTTGTCATAAAGACACATATGAGTGTGTTTTGTTTTTCGTTTTTTTTAATTTTTTCAATAATTTTCTCAAGTCTATTGCCATATGTAATTACTTTTTTTTTTATATTTGTTTAAAGTTCTTACTTGATGAATAAATTAAATCATCATCAGTATTAGTTCCTTCTTCTAGACTAAGCCAGCTACAAAAGTCATTACATTATAAAATTGGTTGCTGTACATTATACACATATAATAAAATCAAAAACAGTATGTAATTAAGTAATAACTTTTTTGGGATGGGTGGGTGGGTGGGGGGGGGGGGGTGGGGGGTGTGATAAGTTATTTTGGCATCCTGATGATTTGCATAAATGCCAAAGGAGTTTATGTTTATTATTTTATATTATTTTATTTAAAAAAAATAATAATTGATAAACACCATGACGAAAAAAAAAAAAAGAAAAGAAAAGAAAAGAAAATATTCCTTATGGTTTCATATTTACCTGGTCCTTGATTTAATATATATATATATATATATATATATATATATATATATATATATATATATATATATATATATATATATATATATATATATATATATATATATATATATATATATATATATATATCAGGTCGATCAATCTCATAGACGGTGAGGCAGAGCCGAGCCGTCTATGAGATTGATCAACCTGATATATATCAGGTCGATCAATCTCATAGACGGTGAGGCAGAGCCGAGCCGTCTATAAGATTGATCAACCTGATATATATATATATATATATATATATATATATATATATATATATATATATATATATATATATATATATATATATATATATATATATATATATATATATACCCTTTTTTCAATTAAAAAAAAACTTGCTTAGCCATACACACAGCCAGAAGACACTTCCTTCAAGTAAGCAAATTACTTTATGAAGATATCAAGCTTTTTTCCTTTTTTAAATTTTATCTCAGATAAAGACATTTGAAAATGTTAATATTCTTAGATTAGAGCAATGATATTCTTTCATAATAGAATTAAAGCAAAAAAATTATATAAATATTACAGAAAGGCTGGAGCAAAATAATTATTATTTGTAGAAATACAACATTATTTCAATAATATCATAAATTATCAGACTTTTTATTAACGAATCTTATACATTTATGGACTTCAATGTAGGTCAATATGCGGTTATAAGGACCCATGTCAAGTAATATTGACCAAAGACATAGAAAGTGATAGCGACCGAGCTTGCGATAAACAGAATATACATTATTCATGCATAATTATATACATCATACATATACACGTAATATTATATTTGTACGTAATATCAAAGGCAATAAGTCTTTATCATCATGAGAGTCTCCTTTATATCTCTGCCATTAACAATTGTAGGATGCCAAGGAGATAACCAGCTTGCCGAGGACCAGGGACCGTTCAGGAAGGCCGAGTAACAGTTCCGGAACCACCACCCTCCCTTAAAAACAGCAGCACAGTTACGATCAACTCCCATGTCATTATCTCTATCAGGGGTGCTAAAGGATACTCCAGACAAAACACTGTCAGAACGACCAGGGTCTAACACACTGTCGCCTATAGAATTGAGAAAAAATCATAAGTATTTTATTTTAATCGTGTTAATTGTACAAAAAAAAAAAACAAAAAAAAAAAAAAACAAAACAAAACAAAAACAAAACACACACAAAAAAAAAACAACAACACACAGGCATTCTTACATGTTCTATAGACTTTGAGTAAGCAGGGCATCAATTGTTACGTGAAAAGATACTTTTAAGAGCGATATATATTTAACTTCTGTTATTTGTTAGTATGTCTTAACTCTATAACGGGATATTTTACTGCTCTATTTTTTACGAATTTATAGACAATGCTCATGTTTAAATGTTTACGTGTTTATTTTATTTTACGAATTTGAATGTGCCTAAACATTAAAGGGATTCAGAATAATTCTATCAAACCTCAGGAAATGACATTTTACGTTAAGATGTTCTGATGGATTATTTATTTTTCAAACTTCAGTAGATTTTTTGAGATGCGAATCGCAGCTTGAAATAATGCTCATTTGTCAAGAATTTTTATGCTTTATACTCAACACATCAGAAGAATTCACAATAAAGATCTCCTAGACACAAAATAAAATCAGTATTGAATAATATTCATTAAGTCATCTTTTTTATGCAGGTATAACAGGAAATAATAAATGCAGGCTGATGCTTTCAGTGGTCATTATAACAGATATTTTGTTTTCCTGTATCGATATGATGCTATAGTAAGTGAGACAATGGTTGTGTATATTAATTATTGACCAGTTTAACTTTACATCATCTCTATTTTCTGCAATCCCAGTTCCTTTCTATTAACCACAGTTATGACATTTTTATCCCTCGAGGTTAGATTACCTATTAAAGTTAATTATGTGCGTTGAAGAAAAAAAAATAGTTTCTTCGTCGCGTGTATATTTCAAATATCTGTATGTATTTCGAAAAAGTAAAACGTAGCAATTTTCCTTCAAAAGTTTAATTTAAAAACAATCGTCATGAAATACAGATCGGGCACTGATGAGCGCTGGAAAATAAAATACGAATAAATGTGCAGTAAGAGTTTGGCAAATCTTTACATGTATAATTAATGCTCTAAAAGTTTAAGTTTTAAATTTTTATTGTTGTGGTATTAATAGATTTGATGTATCATTCACATAAACACGGCTTGAACATGGAATATATCTTTAAAAGCAAAAATGGCAAGCTCATATCTTGAATTATAATATATCGTATTTGGGCAGAAAACCACAAAAGGTGTTTTAGTACTTGTAACACGATCATTGTATCGACCATGGAATTTCCAAAGACTGTCTTTAAACGGGGCTGTCGACATCCTTGTATCATTAACTTTTTTATCAATACATTGCCTCGTTTTAGAAACTGTTCGTACCTAGAGCATGTTCTTGCATATCGAATAAACTGGAAGATATACACAGGTGTGTTAAGGCAGTACCCAGATCAAATTTCGGCGAATTAAGACTTTTTTTCGTAAAATGTAACGCTGATAAATCGGAAAAGCCATAGATAAAACATTTACTATTATTATCAATTGTATAGACGTCACTGAGTCTTAGGCTAAAAGAAGCACTCCACCACGACGTCATCACGTGACGTCTATAAATAGAAAAATTTAATGAAAATGCCTTAATGAAAAAGTGAAAAGTTCAACACTACCCAGGAGATAATTCATTTCTTTGAGCAAAAATGATTATGTAAAAACATCACTAGGTCATGAAAAGTGCTGCTAGAATCCTACTCTCCCGACACAAAAAAAATATTCCAAAGTTTCGCATGAAACCTTACCAAATTTTTTACATTTTATACATACGATCAAGGAATTGTTATTAATTCATGTTAACCACACGATTCTAGCAGCACTTTCCAAGTACTATTGAATACAAGCTTTCGATACAAGCAAAAATTATGTTTCAAAGTATGCGGCGTAGTGCTGAACTTTTGCATCTTTGTTGTTATAGAACGACAGAGGAAAGGCTGATCGGGATTCTAAAGCACTGTCTGTGTTCATAATAAGAAAACATGATAAGAATATATCAGCGTACCTGATTCTTAATCTTTAATTCCTTATGAATCACACATAACATTCACGGTATATGCTTTTAAACTCCCATTTCATATATTTGTTTACATGAATTCTCGTCACCTTTAATTTCACTCGGCAAATATTTGATCAATAGTTATGACGTCATGGGTTTGGTATTTAACCCCCGTGCTAAATAATTAGCTATTTATACCACCCAAGAACGACAAGAATTAGTTTATATTATGTTTTGAATGATTCCCTTCATTTCTTGGACCTGAAATTTAACTTTAAATATAGATATTAAGAAATCATTATTTCTAAAGTTCACGTCATACAGCTTACTATGACGTCATATTGTAAAGCCAAGTAGGACATCTCTGGGTGTATCCTTAACATACCCGCGTAAACTCCATACGCATGTGATAATGGTATATCGCTGCATATATAAGGAATGAAATCTGATTAGAATACTGCAAAGAATCTTTTGAACAATTAGCATTTCTCTCTCTCATTGATTGTGATGCATTTTACTTATTACTCACCTAAAGTTCCGGTAGCTGGCCCTCCAAGGAAAAGTTCGTAGTTGTCTGATTCATCAGACACAGAAAACTGTTGATAAAGTTCATACAAAGTTGTGCCATTTTGTAATGCGATAGAGACGAAGAGGGATGAGTTCCTTCCCTTGGTCAGCTTGTGAATGACGTCATTTCCTTAAATATTTATGTATTATAGAAGTAGTGTATATTTTTAAGCAGAAATAAAGGATATAGATGGATGTGTTAACAACAAAATTGTTGTAGTGTAAAACAACTAAACAACATTAGTTTTAATATTGATACGGATATATCATAATTGTGCGTTTTTCCTCATTAAGTTTCAGGATTTGACACGATCAGATAGAAAATGAAATTCAAAAAGTGTATCAGTATATAAAGTAGGTAAAAAAGGAAATAATTAAGTTTAAATAAATCAACATTTTTATTGGATGATTATAGAAAAAAAACCCATGTATTTACCAATCCAGTAGGTGTCCTCTGCATTCCCGAAGCCTGTTTTGTATTCCACCCACGTTTTGAAAAAACTCACTGATCCACTCTTGCGTTTCTGTATTGCCTTAGAATTGACATATATACATTAAACCCATGTATACATAACTATAACTGAAATGTAAGCCATATTTCTTTGTTTAAATCATTTATATACACTTCTAATCGCAGTCGCTTAAATAGAGTACGAAATCTCATATAAATATTTTTTTTTAGTATTATTCAAATTAAAGAAGAAGAGAGATATTACCGTCCACCCTCCTCCTTGGTTTTCCATGTCACAGAATACATTGATCTGGGTCTCGTTACCGAAGGGATTTATTCCATATACACCAGATCTTGTATGGCCTTCTCTGTAGAGGTCCTTACAGTCTACATTTACTTTCAAACCTGTATGTCGAATAATAATAATAATAATACCTAAATTCGATCTCGATGCAAGCAAAAAGCTGAAACTCCTTTTAGTTGACAGTTACATTTAATTGTCAATTGTCATTTCCATTTTCCCATGTTCATGTAAAAGCTAAAGAGCAAAGAAAAAAAAAATAGATAAAAAAATAAGTAGGTTCATGACTGTTCAACACTTTATACAACCATTCCCAAAGACATAATAATGAACATACTTTTTGACAGCAAAGTTCCATCAATGAAAATGGAACTCTTTTATCCGCTTACCTTGTCATTGGTCACATACCGACTTATTTTTTTACAAAAACATTCTGATTTTATATAAAATATTCCAAAGTTGATATTAAAGAAGTTGCTTAATTCTCATGGGTTCTAATTATCCCCTTTTATTAGCAGATTTTTCATTGCAGTCTTTTGAAGCAAAATTTATTCAAGAACATCTACGTTAAAAGAAGTCTCTCGTGGCATTTAATTCGGTATTTATATATATCGGCGATCAATTAACAATACTCATTTCATTCCTACATAAATTCGATAAATCCCAATGAAGTAAAAGACACAGATTACTCTAACAAATCTGTTTCATTTTTGGATATCTTACTATGAAAAAATATTGACGGCAAACTATCGACTAAACATCGTGATAAGTGGAATCAACTTTTCTATGATCAACTTCCCGTATTTATGTAGCATTATATCAATATTACCTGAATGTGGGGTTTATGGTACCCAATTGATTCGATACACAAGAGGATGTTCTACAAATGATCAATTTTTAAACCGAGAGATACTATTGACAAATAGGTTAATGACACAAGGTTACCAACAATCTCATTTAAAGTAAACATTTCGCAAATTCTATGGTCGATACAATGGCCTTGTTAGCAAGTGCAGTCAATCGTTATGTCGAATGTTGACCTATGTCTTTCATACGAATTAATAGGTCATTTTCTTCACTTGAATTGTCTACAGATTTGTTTCCGTTTAATTGACCATGACAAGGAGCACATGGCTGATGTGACCGGTAGACAGGGTATGCTCACTTGTCCATGGCACATGATCCCCCGTCTGTTTTCAGAGGTCCGTTTTTTTTAGTCTTTCGAGCAAGATTACTGTTCATTTCCTTCACATTTCATTAATGAATATTATACTATTTGAATTATATGTCTATTTATTACATTTTCAACAGTGAAATACTGTGATTTATTTATTGAATAAAAGTGATGTTCTCTCACAGTGTGAAAGGATACCAAAAATGATATTCTCTCACAATGTGAAAGGATATCAAAGTAAGTAAAAAATAATTTCTGGCCTGTCATAAGATAGAAATAGTAACTAAGCATCTTGATAGAGCTAAAACTGCAAATTTCTTCCCAAATATGTTGCTAAAATCCTTGCTATGTAATGTTTTCAATCACACAACTTCTAAGCTATGACGTCTCATCCGTTCAACTATGACGTCAAGCCTATGACACTGTGTTAAGAAAAGACAGAAGCAAAGGGAAAATCAAAGAAAATGTAATAAGCTTCGCACTCGTGAAAATATCAAAAAATCCTGTCCCACTCGTGAAATAAATTCCATATTCATCTACAAAACATTGAATATCCTCTATGAATACCACTATGCCATCACAATTCCATGGTGTCCCAGATATATACCGGATTGTAGGCCTAGAGATATAAGGATTTCACATGAGAGTTGTCATTTAAGCACAAAACAGGTAGAGGTAAGAGGTATCAATTAAATAATCAAAGGTTAAAGAGACTTTACGGTTCTTCAATAAGATCAAACATATGATCAGGTCAATATTTTGGATTCTGGCCTTTAGACTCCCCAATTATGCAATGCATCTAAGAGTGTACTTCATAAGGCAACATCAGGCGATATAAACTTTACTTGATGATAGAACAAAATTTAGAAGAAAATGTAAACTATTTAAACGGTCAGCTAAGCAAAAAATATCTATCGTGTCACATTTAGTGCACCCAATCTTTGTAAACGTTGCATTTGCTTTGCTCTAAAATTTACCTTGGCAATAAAATGTTTTAAAAATACACACTTTTTAAAGTAAGGTTGTTCAGCAGATCTCTGATTTCCTTGTTTTCCCGTCTTAGTTCATCTACTTCTTGTTGAAACCGACTTGTTAGCGTAAAATTGTTCAACAAATTTCTGATTTCCACGTTTTCCCGCCTTAGTTCATCTACTTCATGTTGAAACCGACTTGTTCGCGTAAAATTGTTCAACAAATTTCTGATTTCCACGTTTTCCCGTCTTAGTTCATCTACTTCATGTTGAAGCCGACTTGTTAGCGTAGAATTGTTCAGCAAATCTATGATTTCCACGGTCTCTTGCCGTTGTTGATCTATTTCACGTTGAAGTGTTCTGTGCTCCGTCAGAAGTATTTGAAATCCTTCATTTATTTTTTCACTACTGAAGCAGTCATTCTTTTCATTCAAATAAATCTGCTGAGGACTTATATATAACACACCACACATTACGAAAATTATCCAAACTTTCGCCATGATTCAACTTTGGAGTTGTGTTTACAAAAGTGTTTATTGGTTATTTCCTCAAGTTTAAAAACCTGCTAAACAGGAAGTGTTTATATTCCCTTAAGTAATATTTTTTCAAGGTGTTTAGTTGTTAGTTTGCCCCCAAAATCTTCTTTTAGTGAAACATTTAAACATGAAACAGATGTGTAAGACTCTGTACAGTTTTTCATTTTGATTTAATTAGAGCAACTTAGAAAAGAAAATGAATACTATTAATTGAAACAACGTCGTCGATGTATCTTTATTTAGAAATGTAAAATTGAAGACAACAGTAACACTTCTTCTCATGTTGAAGTTTTTTAAAATTAATTCTCTTTCATGAGAACACAGAATAGGTCTGCTTCTAGCCGGGCAAAATAACAGTATATGTACAGCCTACAGTTCATTTTCTAAGAACTGCAGTTTCAACCAGCAAAGGATATGGAACTGTGCTTTCTCTGCATCAGTTGTCAGTATTTGATTCTACTAGCGCCGAACTCCATGCAAGAAAGGAATGCAATAAGGAGATAACAAACAGTATTCATAAGTCCATTGAAACAATACAAATCAGGAGCAGAGCAAACACGGACCTCTGAAACTGAATCAAGTGCCATGAAGGAGTGAGCAACCCCTGCCGACCGGTCACACCCGCCGTGTGCTCCTTGTCATGATTGGAAAAAAACGGAAAAACCAGTAGACAATTCAGTGTGCAAATAATGGCCTAGAAATTAGTATGAAAAACATTAGTCAGCATTTGACCTAATGATAGATTGTATTCGCTGACAAGGTCATTGTATCGACCAAACAATTTGCGAAATGATGACGTTAATTGAGATTGTAGATATTCCAATTTGAGAGACATAAACCCCATATGTAGGTGATAAGGGTATATTGCTACATGAGAAAGGGAAGTTGGCGATTGAAATGTTGAAGTCATCACGTTTATCATAAAGCTTGGTTGTTAGGTTACAATTAACGTCTTTTTCTAGTAAAATATCAAAATATGAAACATATACGTCAGACTCTGTGGTATCTTTTATTTCAAGCTCACTGGGATATATCGAGTTGACATATGAATGGAGGTAACTATTGTTAATTGATAATAGGTCGTCGATATATCTAAATGTCGAACTGAAGGCCACAGCAAGTGTATTATTTCTTCTCATATATAAGATTTTGAATAAATTCTGCTTCATATGAATACAAAAATACAGAAATAGATATGCTCATAATGGGGCGAAATTGATACCCATGGGTATTCTGTTAGATTGTTGGAAGATCTGGTTTCCAAATTCTACTTAGATCGCAGTGTAGAAAAGGCTACACATAATAATATGGTATTGAATTCATAATAAGGTGTGACGTTATGACAGTTTCTACGCCCTTATAGATCTATAAAAGGATATAGAGCTCAAAAAAGCTAGTTAAGGAAATTGCGAGAATTTGATTGAATTCAAAGGCAGGCTGTGAAGGGAATTCTGAACAAGACGTTGGTACGATAAAGATCCCTCACTGCCCAATGACCCTGAGTGCCGAATAAAGGTGTAAATTTGAAGCCCTTCACCGGTACATGGTGACGTCTATATATGAGTGAAACATTCTCGAACTGGACGTGAAGTAACGTATAATCAGTCAATTAATATAAATAAATAATACTTTGACTTTTTAAAAGGCAGTGATGTGAAAGTTTCAATGCTGATAAGATGTGAAAATCTTATCTTGCATATATTATAAGTTTTGGGTACCAATAAGATCTAAATTCCAGCATGTATATTACATGCACTTGTTTTTTAACCGTATTACAAAGTTTTTACTATGATTATCTTGCTTGTGCATTTAAGTTCAAGGACTGATAGTTACTCAAAAATGGAGACTAAAAAAACCCTCCCTCAATGTGATTTGTTCTACAATTAGATAAGTAAAAGCTGATGTAAACATTGTTAAACCATTTATTTTCAACATGCAAGAATATGCAAGAATATATAATATCAAAGAAGCCAGAGGCAAACTAGGGGGTGGGGGTAGATATGTAGAACGGAAAACAGGTTATTAAATACAGAACTAGAATCCCTAAACAGTAAAGGGTTTTATGGCAACTAACAGAATCCCATATGTGAAAAAAAAATTGAATTCTGTTGGAGATATATTTCTGCATTTATGTGTGTAGTTGGGGAGGGGATTTATATATTTAATCATTGGTAGGGGCTCTGTTGTTTATTAGAAATAATTGAATTTTTCCATGATTTTTTTTTTACTAATGGACATTTTCAAATTGATTTACAAGATGGATGTTGCGGCAAGCTTTAGGCCCGTTGTTAACAATATGTGTCTTGGAGAAATGCGGAAGTTTTCAAAGAAGTCTTTTGTAGAGTATATATAAAGAACGAAGACAGACAAAACAAAGACAAATCAAAGATGTTTTATGCATACCGTATTGATTTATTGAAATAAAGCCAGCACAGTCTGTACGTATTATTTGGTTAAAATTTGTGAGGTTAACAAACTTTGTTAAGTTCTGGAGTGTTATTACCCATGCTCTCGCGTTAATGATGAGTTTGAAAACTTTATTTAGTATGAATGTGTCAATATTTCAATTTTTAATCAAAAGGTGCAAGGGCAAGGCGACAATCTAAGAAATAGGTTTTTATTTTAATTTCTTTATTTCAATGTATAGTTTTAAAAAAGTGATGCTCATTTCTTTAAAATTCATTAGGTAATTTATAATTTCGAATGAAATAATGAAAATACCCTATTTTTTGAATACTGGTGTTTGTTTTCACTGATTTATGATGCCATTAAGATATATAAACTAGAATTTCATGCTAAAATATAAGACGGTTGAACTTTAAGTGTCTCGTTTTCGTTGCCTTTTTTATAGAAAATTTTGCCTTAACTGTACTGTGATATTGTCAATCAGAAACTCAAGCATCTTTTCAATATCAACCTCAGTGTACTTGTGTGTACAATCAGAGAGTTTTATCAAAATTTTTTTGCAAATGACAAATGACAAGGTAAGTAAATTTACGACTTCAATTTTCATTGAAACACAAATGAGTGACTACTAATTACAAAAATCAGATTGGTAGTTTAGGTTTTTAATGTAATAAAGAAAGGATTCATTACTTGATTAAATACTTCATTATAGCTAGTCAGACTGGATGTAAAACAATGAAAAAAGGGTGAAGATAACAATAAGATCAAACTCATAAAAACTTCAAACAATACAAATCTATGAACGGGGCATAAACACTGACACCTGGAAATTCCAGATGTGGGATTAACTGACTAGGAGGAGTACGCATCCCCTGTTGACCGATCACTCCCTCCGTTAGCCCTATGTATTGATCAAGTAGACGGAATATTCCGTAGTCAAATTTAGTATAAAAAAAACAAAACAAAACAAAATAGGTCTAACAATTGGTAGGAAACAAGTCAGCCAATAAACGACCCAGTGATAGGTTATATCTGCTTATAAAGCCATTATAACGACCATAGAATTTACTGAATGCTCATTTTAAACGAGGTTGTCGAAATCCATGTAACACCAACTTATGTGTGAGTAGGCTGCCTCGGTTTAAAGTAAGTAGAGACCTAACAACTTTGAGGACGGCAAAGAGAATGATGCTTTCTTGGTGGATACTTCGTCGAAGTACAACTGTAGACGGAATATTCAAATTTAGTATAAAAACAGAGGTCTAACAATTGGTAGGAAACAAGTCTGCCAATAAACAACACAAATAGCAACTGCACTTTTCTTGATTCCATATCCTTAATTAACAAAAGCTGTAGATTTCTGATTACAGGAACAGGTCCTTCTGAGATACTTAATAAAAATATGAAGAAGAATAAAGAGTTTCAGTAATATTATTAAGAGGTTGAATTGGCAAGTTTATAGTTATAGAACAGATAAAGTGCTGAATCTTTGTTTAGTGATTTCAGATACTTTACCCTAGCTGTTTGTGGCGGAAGAAAAATAACTAAAAAGAGAAACTACAGTCACCCTTAATTTGCTCAATACATTTAAAGTTAATTGTTATCCTTAAGCAATTTTTTTCTCTTTATATGTATTTGAAAATCCTCTCAGTGAGTTTTAAATTCAATGTGGACATACATCATTCAAAGCTGTAAAAGTCCTAACTTTTACGTCCTGTTGCAATGATGTACGGTGTCCTTTTAAGTTGTTTTAATATTTATTACCTTTTAAAGTTAAGTTTCGGGGGGAGGGGGAGGGAATTCGTCTAACTTTTCGGTACATTTTCATTTCTTTTAAATGTTTGATTTTCCATATTTTGAACCTTTCCGCAACAAAGAGTGCGGGGGAGCTTCCAATGCAAATCAAAACTTATATATTAAAATTATAACAAAAGATTATTTCTGTTAGAAAAAGTGAGCCCCCTTCGCCAACATACTACGGGGACATTTTGAACCTTTCTCTTCATTGCTTAAAATATCCCAATTATATAAGGAGAGGAATACTCTCCTATGCATACTCCCTTTCATGACTTTTTATGCATACTTCTTAATGTTAGTTACTTCAGAAAATGGTACAATAAATGGCATAGCCGTACGTTCGCCGGAATCTTCCGACGATATCAAAATGAAATCTTTCATGTTACGTGTTGGTGCTCGAGGCCCGGGGCAGGAAAGCAATAAGCAACACTCTATCTAGAGAGCAGAAAGGACAGAGATTGAAGTACTTATTTTATTGAAAATACTAGATGTAAAAATATCTATATTACGAAAAAAAAAAACCATTCTCTCTCTCTTCCTCTTTCTGCAAAAACAAAGGGGTTCCAACGTCCGGAAAACACCCCCTCCCTGGATCCGCCAATGGAGTTTAAAAATTTTACCATTACAATACCTCTTTTAATTCTGTCGTTAATTTTAAAGGCTAATTTTAATTGTGAAAGATACCTGGTAGATCAACATTTCATATTCATATCATTTCAAGGTCATGATTTTTTAATCATTACAGCCTAATTAAGGAG